GAAAAGCGACTCCAGGGAAGAAAGGAATCAGATGGGAGAAGGTGGTAGAGAGGGTTTGGAAGGAGATAAGAGACGAGGAGGAGACATTGGACACGGAAGGGTTCGGGGGGTTCAAGAAGAAAGTCAAGGAGATGCTAGAAAGTAGGGAGGAGGCAACCCTTCGGAAGAAGGTACGAAGCGAAGACCACTTGGAGATATACGGGAAGTTGAAAGAAGGGATAAGGATGAAGAGCTACTTGGACGGCCCCATGGACTACGCAAAAAAACTGAAGTTGCAATTTCAAGTGGGCAATCTGGACTTGCCAGAACGGAGGAAGAGGTACAGCAGCCGTAGGAGAGAGGAAGAGGAGGATAGACAGACATGTCCATGTGGCAAATCGGAGGAGAGTAGACCCCATATAGTTGGGAAGTGTGAGCTGTACAGGAAGGAAAAAGAGGATCTCGAGGAGGACATGAGACAGAGAGGGTGTGACATGGACAAGTTTGGTAAATTAGACAACAGCGAAAAAACGATCGCGGTAATTGGGGATAGATGGTGGGCACAAGAGGCCGTAGAGGACGGGGGTAAGATGTGCAAGAAATTTTGATGTAGTTTGTGGCAGAAACGTAAAGAGCTCCCAAATGTTGGTGGTGTCTCTAGTAGGGGTAGGAACGGTGCTCCGTCTCGAAAGGGACGCGTGATCAATGGTCAAATGACTACGGCAAGCAACAAATGAGTTCGCCCCCCCCGCTCCCCCTCCCGTAGGACTCCTTGTGTGTTTTCCGTTAGGAAATGGGAACGGATAGCTGCTGCTGCAGAGGCGGCCCTAGAGTGCCCCCTCCCTCCCCTCTCCCCTAGAATTCCTTGTGTGTTTTTCCTTAAGAAAGTCGGCGCGAATAACTGGTGCAGATTCTGCACCGCTGCTGCGCGCAGTGACCGAGCAGCGTTGGATGCCTCCTTTCGTACATGTGCGCAACAAGTGCGAATGTCGTGCGTGTTTTGTTCTCGTTGTCATGAAACACTCACGGCTCAGCAGCACCAAGAAGCAGCCGTCGGCCCTGGAAGAAACGCCGCCATGTATACCGTAGGCGATGTAAGATACCACACCCCTAGGACCGAGTTTCGAAGCTGGATTACTCCACGACAAAGAGGATTCATAAACGAATCGATGCGTTTTCGGAAAAAAATGCGTTTCTCGTCGATAAAGACAGTATTCGGGACCGCATACCGCTTAGGTGACAGATGTCACACGCCCCTAGGACCGATTTCGGAAGCCCGAATTTTCAGCGGCGGAAAGACTGGCGGTGCCAACAACGGACTTCTCTCGACCGGACGGCTCCAACGCCGCCGTTCTTGGCACTGCCACTCTTGCTGCTGCGGAAAATTCGAAATTCGGTGCCGGGGGTGTGATATCTCATGCCACCTACTCGCGGAATGCTGTCGCGAAGAATGATTTATCGGCGAGAAACGCAGCAGATGGTGCAAGCCGAACGAACTCGGAAACCACGTTTTCTCACACTTTGTTTCGCGGCAGGTCGCTGCGGCGCAGGCCGCCCTCGAACGCGGCGAGAGCGGGGCCGCGCAGCGCCTGGAGGCGGCGGAGGAGGAGCTGGAGAGGGCCTTGGAAGCGGTCCTCGATGCGGAGTGTGCAGGCGGCGCTGGTTTCGGGGGTAAAAGAAGATTTTTGCTGCCATCAAGGAAGGCATTTCGTTTTTTTCTCGCGCTGCATATTTTTTGTGTGTGGTGGCTGGCGGTACTGGTGACGGTGTGTGCATATATTAATGTGTATGTTGCGCTGCTGTGAGATGAAAAATGCCGCTGTCGGGAAGGGCAATGCGTATATAGTTTGCGCCCGCGCTCAAGAACGTCTCGTATAGGCCGAAGGCTGAGGTTCGTAGCTCCTGAGGTTAGGCTGCAAATGGCCGCTATGAGTATATAGGTTTTAGTGTAGGGGTTCTTAACCCGGCTCACAAGACAGTGCTCAACGTCTTAAAACAGTATGTGTTGATGTGATCTTCAGCATGAAGTTCAGAAGTGTGGGCGCTACCTACTGTACGAGACGGAGGGTCGGGGGCGCAGGAGGGCTTGAGGTTTGCTTCCTCATCCACGCACGTCTAATTGTGTCAATTGCGGCCACGGCCTTGCATCCCTCGCTCTCCCAAGCGACCGTGTGCAACAACAGCAGTAACCTTCGCACGGAGCAACATGTAATTGGTCGGTCGTTTGCTCGACCCTGTTTTTCCATTTTGTCCTCCGTGGCTGTTCCACCGCTTCTTTGTGGCTGTCCAGACGGAGGTTCCGGCGAGTCTTCCTCTGACAGCGAGGGGGGCCCGGGCTTCTTCGACGGCATCAATGACGACCCTTCCGAGGAGGCTTTTCTTGCGGCGAGCACCAGAACGGCTCGCGGGGCGAGCGGGGGTGTTCGTGTCAGCGACGGCGGTGGGGGTCGTAGTGACGATTTGGCGGCGGGTTTGGCCGGCGCGGACGGCGGCGGCGTTGGTGACGAAGATGATGATGATGATGTTGACCCGAAGGCAGCAGGGAGAGCGAGCAGGAGCAGTGGCGTGGAAGTCATCAGCGTGGCAGCCGCGGCAACAACAGCCGACGATGGCAAACCAAGCGGTGCCAATAGTCGAAGTAGCGACAACGGGGAGAACGGCTGGGTGGAAGCAGGCAGCAGTAGCAGCAGCAGTAGCAGCAGCAGTAGCAGCAGCAAGGACGTTGAGAACGGCGGCGGCAGAGCAGAACAAGACCCAGCAGCAGGCGAAGGCAGAACCGCGAAGAGGAGGAAGATCGAGGGCCAGGAGCAGCAGGGAGCGAGCAAGTCGGCGCCCGCCAACTTCAGCAGAGTAGACCCGTCCCTTCCGCGCGCGGAGCTCGCGGAACGGTTCCCCCTGTTCCTCGAAGCGGAGTCTTGTACCGTGGAGGTGGAGGCCGGGCAGATGTTGTACTTGCCGGCCGGGTGGTTCCATGAGGTGAGAGAATGTCGTGTTTGGTGCGCCAAGAGGGCTTTAGACGCCGAAGCAAACCATCAGGGTGTAATGTGATTTCGGCGGCTGCTAAAGAAGTCAGTCGTGGGGTCCGAATTACGCGACACTTGTTTTCTCCGAGGAGGGGGTGACTCCCCTCGCCAGCGCTGCTGTCCGTTTGAGAAGCCGGAACCAAGCCATTGGACTAGTCAGAGCGCTGACGGCCGTCGGTGACACAAGATACTAAATACAACCCCCGGGACCGATTATCGAACCACGACTATTGAACGACGAAAAGACGATATCAAATGGTGTATTTTCGGAAGGATCTCGACGAGACGGTTCCAACTCCGCCATTTTGGCACCACCTCTATATCTGCTGCGGAGTATTGGAGCTTTTGAAAATCGATCCACGGGGTGTGGTACCTCATGCCACCTCAGGTAGTTTGATGGCTTGATTTCGCCTCCTAACGGGCGCAGGTTGTCAATGGTTTTGTCGCGGGTGTTCGGCCTCCGCCGGCGTGACGTTTGGAACCTTCCATCGCGCGTGATAATTGGGACACTTTTTTGAGTGGGACAGCAGTAGTATCATGGTATACAACGAAGCACCACCTGATTTGTATCGTCTCGTATGACGCTTGCCCTCATCAGTTTCGCTTGTGTCGGGAGAGGACGAATTCGGCGTGCATGTTTTTTTGTTTTGCTTCTTCACTTCAAATCAGCGCTCACACAGCATTTGCTCCGTTTACTCAACCCGTGGTCACGAAGAAGAGTTCTCTTTGAGAGGCCCCATACCCACCCCTCCTGCGGTGCTTTATCTTCGATTTTAAATGCGAGAAGAGTGCAGCACTCTCTTCCCTCTGTGTTCATTCGGAACTATTTTAGCCCTTTCCCCCCAGGCCAGGAACGGATGCGAGAGAAAAACTCACTATGCAGAAAAGCTCGCTTTTCGCCGGGATTCGCACCCCTGACCTTGGCCACTAGAAGGTTTTCGAGGATACGAACTAGACTACCGGGGCGACCGGCTACAGCATACAGAAGTTGTGCACTTGACCAACAGAGGAGGATATCTTCCTAGACGTTGCGTGGATTATAGACGAAAAGTTATTTCTGAATCTGGACCTTGGGTCCTATGAGTCCTCGTGACACTGGTCTATCAAACGGATACACAGATAGTAGACACGCAAAGCACGCGTGTTCTCTTCAGTTGTTTTACGTGTTTCATGTTTTGGGCCGAGAACCGACGGCGAGTGCCCAACGTTGATGTACTGACACAACCGTGCTCTTCAGTATTTTTCCTTACTGCTTTTCGCCCTTGATTTCTTGTTTTTTTCGTCATGCACACCAAATATATATTCGTGTTTTTCGGACCATCTATTATACTGCTGTTTTCTGTTTCTCCCTACAGGTGTCCTCGGTGGCATCGGAAAACGGCCACATGGCGTTCAACTATTGGTTCCATCCCCCGGACTCTTTTGGCTCGTCCTCCTCGCCGTACGAGTCGAGCTTTTGGCAGAGGGATTGGGAAGCACGCCAGGAGGAAGGAGGCGGGCTCGGGGCGGGGGTGGAGAAGAAGAATGAATAGTGAAGAAAAAGCAGTCTCTGCTCGTCGTGCCGCGGTTGGATGAGGATAATGTAGAATGTGACATTATGTCCAGGTGCCCTGTACCCAAGGGTCGTCTGCAGGCGGTTCAGTGTATATATGCTGTATTGGGTTCCAGGAAGAAAGGCTGCGTAATGTTCAGACCGAAGTGTGTTCCGACCGAAGTCAATGTTGTTGCTAGAGTTGTGAATCGGTACGAAAAAACGATATATTTTACATCGGCTGCGCAGCAGGCGATATAACGATATTTTCTCCGATATATCGCCGTAGGCGATATATCGGAGAAAATATCGGGCGAGCGCAGCGAGCCGTGATGGGGGCGAGCGAAGCGAGCCCCCCCATCGGCCCCCCCCGGCTGGTGAGGGGGCCTCGCCGGAGGCGCCGCCGGAGGCAGAAAATTTGGTGCATTTTCCTTTCATTTCCCGTCAAAATGGGCCCAAATGCGGCATCAAAAAGGGCTTGACTTCAGCTGCAAACATCGCACGGAATGTAGAAAAAAAAAAAAAAGATTAAGATTGATGTATTGTCGCGTATCCTCAGCAGTACCCTCCTTCGGTCTCTCCCTGTGTCTACTTCCCGGTTGGTTCTGGACATGGTGCTGTTGTCTGCTGTTTCTGCGCTGCTGTGCTGTGTGTGTGTGGCGTACAGGGGCTCCGTACTGCTGCGCATACCCTAAATTTGATTCACGGAGCCCCTAAGAAAACATCGGTCGGAACATCGGCACGAATTTTCGATACCGATATCGATATATATCGGACGATATATATCGTGTACATCGTTCCGATTCACAACTCTAGTTGTTGCTAGATGCCGCTCGGACCTACTTGGACTCACTTTCGCTGCTTACTTGCAGAGTCGATATGTTGAGGGATAAGTGGGAGTGAGCCTGGTGGGGCTCGCAACACCTCGTGATCTTGCTACAGTCAGGAATTACGATCTCTTACGATCTCCTACGATCAACAATCAACTTATCAGTTCACATCTGACACTGGTAAACATCTTCAATTCTTTCGCACAGCATCAAATCTCCTAGTAGTGAGAGATCTTTTATGTTCTTGAACCATTGTCCTCAAGGTTGATATGGTGAACACGATCAAGATGCTCCGTCAATATGTCTGCTCGCTGGTTCTCGCTCCGCACATGCTTCAGCATAATATTTCCCATGTTGACATAAATGGGGGGGAAGCAGCCAGTACCTGCTGATCATTTGCTGCGGCCTCGAAACATGAGTTAACCGCTGTACTCGATGCTCTTAACAGTCCAGTAGAATCCGAATGGAAAGTGTGCACTCCCTCCCGTGCGGCAAATCCAAAGTGCAGGGTCCAAGACCATATTGCGCTTTGAAGAGTTGCTCTGATCTTGCCTGCCATAGGTGTAGCCACATGCATGCCACATGTAGCTGGCCAGTGCTCGACTCTACTACAGCAGTAGTAGTACCTGTAGGCCTTACGCCATGGCATCTCCAACCTGTTCGCCACGTTCTTTTCCGGCTCCCGATCCTTCCATCAAAACTTGACGTCTCAAAGTAAGTACTGCTGCAGCTTAGTCTGTGGTCTATGCTGTACCGTTGACAGCGCTCTAGTTGATGTGGCACACCCTTGTACACAAGCGCTACGAAATGTGCTAGCCATCGACGACGGTGGTGGCGACCCCACAACCACACACCCGCATTTTTTCCCGTGGTGTAGGCCCTCCTGTTACAAGCAGGCAACAACAAGAAGAGTTTGGGATAGAGTAGCACTACATTCATCGCGTAGTGGACTCTATACCAGTGTTTCTACGAGCCCTCTAGCAGCGTACAGTTTGAGCGATATCTCTCCTACGGGCAACAGGCTCAACAGGACCATCTTCAGTCTCAAGATCTCAAGCAAGTTTCAGTTTTTCTTTCTCCTCTGCTGGGGGTCCCCCCCGGTCCCCTGGTTGATACAGACAACTCAAATATCTTGTGCAAACCTCGATTTCTCAACCGCACCTCTCTCTCCAGTCTCTCGCGTTTGGGAGCTGGAGGTCCTTACTGCTGTGCAGTGAGCGCTGGCTAGCGTCATGCGGTCGTGCGCGGTTGCGGCATTCTTCTTGGCGAGCGTGGTCGAGTCGTTCCACGTCAGTACCGTCGGGAGGCCGCATGAGTTTCACAGGTGCATGCAACCAAACGAGCAAGCGTCGCTCATGTTGTTCTCGCCTCTCTGTCTTTTTTTTTGCACACAAAAACTTTGAATACGGCAACGGTCTCCGCGGTATCTGCAGCAGTATGCCAGTTTCATTCGTGAGCGAGGTTGGGCATTCGGTGTCATCACCATGTACATGATGAAACCTACTGTCTGTCGTGTGCTACTGGTTGTACCTCTAGGCCTGTTATCGACAGCAGTTGGCTGCCAGCAGACGTACAGCAGGTTCTGACTCCGTTGCAGCGGCGTTCCCTGACTGGAGAGAGATTGGGAGAGAGAGCATGACACCACTTCCGTGTCCCCGCCGCCGCCGGCCGTCCGTGTGCATGCACGCCGCAGTATCAGGAGTAGCAGCAGGGCCAGTACTTCGGTTTTCCCCTTGCGTATGGGCGCGCCGTCGCTACCAAACGCCGAGAGCTTGAGGAAAACGGTTGCGAGCACGGCGGCCGCGTTGCTCATCGCTTTCTGCCCTGCGGTGGCCTCGTACCAGCATGCTTTCGCCGCTGATAGAGCCGGGGCGCAGGAGCTGTCTCCTGCGGAGATGCTCGTCAAGAAGACGACTGACATGCAGGTTGGCTAGTAGTCCAGTGGCAGACGTACGTCTTGCACCCCGTGCGAGTGGGTGTTTGTGTACGCTTGTTGGAGAGATTCGTCTGATGTTTGTCGTGCGTTGTCGGCGTTGCACGTGGCGCTTAGATCCTGCTGTCGTACCACTCTAACAGCTGTCGCGCTGCCAGGATGTTTGACTTCGACAGCAAAATTGGCCATGGGAGTATGAGAGTGCGCGACGGTTTCGAGATTCTTTTTTGGCCTGAAGGGTATGAGCGGGCGTTTGACCCACCCCCACTTGACATTCATAGATGACGCAGCATACCACCCTTCCTGTTCCACGGACGAAATGGCTCCAGCAGTGTTGTCGTGCTTGGTGTCCTCGCACCGTTGGCCTCGAGATCGTCTCTGGTCCTACGCTCGCATCTGCTAAGAATCGTGCGGTGATATTGTCTTCCATCTGAGCACACCCATCCTTTTCATGTGTATTGGATTTTACTCGCAACATAGAAAATATTTGGGCGTTCTGAAAGCTTTTTCAACAGCAGCGTGAGCCTGCAGCTGTAGCCTCTTGTTGCTGCCGGCGCCCCTAAAACAGAGAAAGAGGCTGAAGGACGAGTCCCAAAAGCAGCTCCAGGGGGACGTCACTATGCAGGAAGGGGATCTTATCGCGAGGGTGAGTGCTTAAACCTTGGACGTATGCATTTGGTTTCGATTTGGGCTCAAGCTGATGCGCCACCCGCCTGGGTATTTGCTTGTTGGTATTTCCTTTGTACGTCGGTGTGCTCAGGTTAGGCCCTCCGTGTTCCCGCGTTGTGCCTCCGCACAAGCGGCAGGTAACAAGATCTGCGGGCTCTAAATGAAGATACCATCCTTTTCATTGTCTCAACAATGATAGTAGAGCAGTAATCAAGACTGACATGGCTCTCGCGGGCGCCGGCGGGAAAATTAACAACAAAGGTTCTGGTATCAATCAAGCAAGACCTGTACGACCTGGGGGCTCCGGACACGACCGGCTTTCCCGCGGTGGACACCGACGAGGCGAGGCTGATCGTGGCCGCCTTCGGGAAGGACGGTCCGCCGGTGGCGGCGAAGCGGCTTACCGTCAAGGGGAGGCAGTTCCCGGTCACGGTTGAGCTGACCGCGGACGACCTGGCCTTCCCCTTAACGAAGGTAAGGAGGGGGGGGGGGGGGAGGAAG